ATATAATTAATATATTAAATAAGAATACATTCAGATACAAAAATACTATCTTCTGAAATCCATGGCAGCTACAATTTTAGCAAAGTTTAAGAATTCCTGTATTTGATATGAGGAAGAGTGAAAAACAGAGAGGGAGGAATGTAACTGTAGAAGCAAGCTCACATCCCTGTTAAAAGCTTTCCTTTCTGCCATGGGAAACCAGTGAGCCAGCCTGCTCCTGGTGGCATTGTGCTCTGTTGTCAAACTAGGCTCTCCCCACATCAGAGGTTAACAAGTAAAATACTAAACCAGCAGTCAGTGTTGACAAAGAGCAGTGCTTTAATCCACAATTATCCTTGTAACTCTTGCTACTCCTTTTATCATCCATTAGCTTTGATTCCCATTATCCCATCAAGAACTGTGTCAACGCTTTTGTCCCTCGGGATTTCCCACAACTACTAGGATCTGACAGCCAAGCTTGAGTGCTAAGCAGGATCATTACCTCTTAAATCCACTTATCTGATCCACTGAATAGCAAATTGAAAAGCTCATTAACAGCAACAATCTGATTTGTTTTCATGTGTGACAGGGTCATTTCAAGTCAGCATGAATACAGTGCTTGTAATAAAAACTACTACCCGTTCCCTAATGTGACAAATTGTAAGCGAAAATAAATGTGATATTTTAAACACCTTCTCCAAAATCATTTTCAAAACCAACGCACGCTATTAGCATGTAAAAATAGAACAACAACCAACCCCCAACCGCAACAATGAAGTGCCCTTAGACTTTTAAGCACTATAAAAAATTAATGATAAAGCATTTTGGACGTATAATAATAAAACACACTTCAACAATAAAGACCGTGCTATATACTCAAAAGGCAGAGAAAAACACTGTTGGAAAGGGCTTAAAAGGATGTGGACTCACATGTGGAAGTGATCTCATGTTCGGCTTGGTTCCCATCACCATGGGTAAAGCTGTGAAGGTAAAGGCAGCTTTGGGGGGCTGCAGAACCCCACAGCCACCCAACTGGGGGTCCCCTCCCTTGGAGACCTCCCCTGCCTTCTTCCGGCAAGAAAAAACCCAGGCTTTCATTTTCACTTCCCTTCAGACATTTCAAATAGAAGCGGCATAATTAGCTTTCAGTAGGAAACAGCCAGTTGAAGACTTCTGGAAAACCTTTACACAATCCTTACAACTGCAGGATTTATAACTTCCAACACAAAACCTGCATCAACACACAGCACTATGCAATCACACCATGATGTGGCCAAAAATGTAAGTTTATCAGTAAAATATCGCACCATCACCATCTCATTCTGACAAAAGTCAGGAGCATAAGTGAAAATTTCACAGACGTGGTAACATTAGACTACAATATTGGATGAGCTTCAGAGGTACAAGTGCATACTCGGGGTCTTTACAGCAAGCCGGAGCTGATCCCACTATCACAACCAACACCCAAGTGCATTGCTACATTCAAAAGTGACAGCAATGGTGACAGAATCCCAGCCTGGTTTGGGTTGGAAGGGACCTTAAAGCTCATCCAGTTCCAACCCCCTGCCATGGGCAGGGACACCTTCCACTAGAGCAGGTTGCTCCAAGCCCCGTCCAACCTGGCCTTGACAACCCGGCCATGACAGTGAAGATAAAGAAGAGACCAGCAAAACTGCCTAGGTGGAATCAGGACATTGGAGGAAGAAAGCAGGTTCACAAGCTCTCATGCCAGGGAATGGTTTTATGATCTGTCGCAGATTTATCAGTGGTTCAAACTACATAACTGTATACTTCCCAATTACTTGAACTGTACCTGCTGTGTTTCAAAAGGATGAGAAAATAAGATTGTGGAAGCACTGTTTTATAAAGCAAAGCACTTGTATGTAAATACAGTCCAAGAAAATGGAGAAATAATTCAGTAATCACACTCAAACACTATTTCCCCGTCTTCTCTACTCTTTGGCCCTAGATATGCCTAACTTTGCTTTGTCTTTTGAGGTCTTCTCTTTTTGGTACTCTCATTATAATAACTCTGAAGAAGCTAATTATGTCAATTCTTAAATGTGAAGCAGATTACAGAACTGGGAAGCTAAGAATATGAGTTCCTAAAGGTTGTATGGCTATATAATGACAGTCACAGAAATTCAATAACAGCACTGTACGGAATGTACTCCAACGCACCCCATGAAACAAATTAAAACAGAGCAATGAATCTCTCACACTGTGCAAATAAGAAAACACAAGAAAATGTGGGTTTCTGTATGTTTCATAACAGCTATTATAATGAATTAAGATTTTGGATAATGAATCTTCAGAAAATTACAGTAAAGTTATTACCCGCAGGCACAGTGTAAATGCTTAAGACATTGTAACTTCCCTGAAGCTCTCCAGGCCTTGCTGCAGACAACCATCACTACAACATTAAAGTCTTTTGTCATGAACACTGAGGGCAAAACCAGACCTTAACCACACTTTATCCTGGACAGATGTGGATTGGGGCTGGAGCACATGGGCAGGCCAAAGGGAGCATCTCCTTCCCCACATCTGTCTGGGAATACACGCAATGCCAGGCAACCACAGGACATTCCTGATGCTGCCGTCCCACCTCTCCGACAGGTACATCACCCAGTAAAACTCCACAGTAACCAGGAATTTCTTTCTCGGTGTCAAGTGCCACTACACATTTAGTAATTTCCACTGCTTTTCAAACTGCACTCTGGTATCTTCAATTTTCAGTACTTCAAAGCTCCAGTATAATGCAGCAAAAATTTGGCTTCCAAATCCCACAGACAATGCCTGGATATCTCAACTTCATCCCCTACTCAGTGTATCAGAGTGCTGGATCATTCATCTTTACCTCCTGACCAAACTAAGGGCCTAACAAGCCTTGGCTTTTCTATCCTCTCCTTAACAGAGGAAAACCTTGGTCACCTCCATCCCTGACCAGCTGTCTTAAAGAGGCAAGATCTCAAAACACCCTTAACTCTGAGTCTGAAGCAAGAGAATGGGCTAATCTGCCATATAGTTAGCTCCCCAAATGAAAAAACCTCCAAAACAGGCCATAAGAAATTGCCCTGGTTTCAGACAGTTGGGCTTTGCAGTACAGGAAAAGTAGGCTGCTCTCCCATTCACTGCTACATATGTTTGTAAGCAACCAGAGGAGCCAATATATAATGTTTAGTATATAAATTATATACTGGCTTACCTATAAATCTAACTTAATTAAAATACTGCATAAAGTTATCCTCAGTTGAAAGGAGAGAACTACTATAAGATGACATTTAAAAGTTAGGGTATTGCTATTACAATCAATATGTGTTATGTCGCAGGGGGAAGGGTAAATCTGCTGTGTGGCTCACACATTGGTACGGATGTTATTTCCCTCCTAGTCTGTTGAAATACTCCATCATAACCAGTTGAGGCAGGAA